CACTTTAATTGCCAGTTCTCTTCATGAGAGTTTTATCTTTTGGAGAATGTCATATAACTGGATCAGACCTCGTGTGATGTTAGAGACTGACTTCCTTCTCTCCAGGGAAAACTCTGAGAACCCCTGGGGGTGCTGGTCAGCGGCCCCTCCTTTGTGAGCCCCTCTTTTGTGAGTCCCTTTGTACGGACCCACCAGGGTTTGCTTAGCCATCCACCTGTTGAAGGGTACGGGGTGTTTCCACTCTTGGCTTTTATGTATAAAGCTCTGTGAATATTCGTGGTCAAGACTTTGTGTGAACTATGCTTTCGTCTCCCTTGGGTAAACACCCAGGAGTGGGGCTGCCGAGCTGTATGGGAATATACCACACAACTGAGTGCTTAACTTTACATGGAACTGCGAAACCATCTTCCGGAGAGCCCGCACCATTTTGCATGCCCACCAGCAAGGTGTGAGAGTGCCGGTTTCTCCTCAGGCTCACCGGCATTTGGTGCTGTCACTGTGTTTTATTTTTGCCGTCCTGATAGGTGTGTAGTGGCATCTCATTGCGGTTTTAATTTGCACCTCCCTGACGGCTAACGACGCTGACCATCATTTCACATGTCTACAGCGTTTGCCACCTGCGTAGCCTCCTCCATGAGCTGTTCCTCTTTTTTATTGTTTGGTTTCTCCTTGTCAAGTTCCGAGAGCTCCTTCCATATTGCGGCTGCAAGTCCTTCGTCAGGTGTGTACAGGATTTGCAAAGATTTTCTCCCAGTCAGTGGCTTGACTTTTCATTCTCTTAACAGTGTATTTCACAGAGCAAAAATGTTTACTTTTTTTTTTTTATTGTACTTTAGGTGAAGGTTTACAGAACAAATAGTTTCTCACTAAACAGTCAGTACACATATCGTTTTATGACGTTGGTTAACAACTCCACGACATGCCAACCCTCTCCCTTTTCGATCTTTTTTTTTTTTTTTTTGGTGAAAATGTACATAGCCAAAGAGACACCATTTCAAAAATTTCTACATGCACAGTTCAGTGACATCGATTACTTTCTTCCAGTTGTGCTGCTATTCTCACTTTAGATGAAGGTTTACAGAACAAAATAGTTTCTCATTAAACAGTTAGTACACCTGTTACCCTATGACAATGGTTAACAACCCCACGACATGTCAACAATATCCTTACTCAACCTTGGGTTCCCCATCACCAGCTTTCCTGTCCCCTTCTGTCTTCTAGTCCTTGTCCCTGGACTGCTGTGCCTCATTAGTCCCGTTTTGTTTTATGGGGCTGTCCAATCCCCAGCTGAACGGTGAACCTCGGAAGTGACTTCACCACTGAGCTAAAAGGGTGTCTGGGGGCCATACTCTCAGGGTTTCTCCAGTCTCTTTCAGGCCAGTAAATCTGGTCTTTTTTGTGTGTGTTAGAATTTTGTTCTACATCCTTCTCCAGCTCTGTCCAGAACCCTCTGTTGTGATCCTGGTCAGAGCAGTCAGCGGTGGTAGCCAGGCACCATGTAGTTGTACTGGACTCAGTCTGTTGGAGGCCTTGGTAGCTGTGGTCCATCAGTCCTTCAGACTAATCCTTTCCTTGTATCCTCTTCTCTTCATTCTCCCTTGCTCTTGAAGGGGTGAGACCAGTGGAGTATCTTAGATGGCTGCTCACAGGCTTTTAAGACCCCAGACTCTACTCACCAAGGTAGAATGTAGAACATTGTCTTTGTAAACTGTGTTATGCCGGTTGAGCTAGATGTTCCCTGAGACCATGGTCCCCACAGCCCTCTGCCCAGCAATTCAGTCCCTGAGGGAGTTTGGATGTGTCTAAAAATGTTTACTTTTGATGAAGTCCAACTTATCAACAAGTTGTTCTTTTAGGTCATGCTTTTCATGTCATTTCTAAAAGCTCTTCGTCTACCTTCAGTTCATGAAGGCTTCTTTCTCCTAAAAGTTTTACAGTTCTTCATTATACGTTCAAATCCATGATCCATTTTAAGTTCATCTGTGTATAAGATGTGAGGTTTAAGCTGTGGCTCATTTTCTTTATATATGTGTCAGAACCGTTTGTTGAAAAGCATATCCTGTCTCCAGTGAATTTCTTTTGCACCTTTGTAATAAGATTAAGTAGCCATATTTGTGTGGGTTATTTCTGGACTCTGTTGTACAGTATTGATCTATGTGTCTGTCATGATTACTGTAGTCAGGTACGAATCTTAAAATTGGGTAGTGGGAGTCCTCCAACTTATTCTTCTTTTTCAAAATTGTTTTAGCTATTCTAGTTCCTTGTCCCTTCCATATAAATTTTTTTTATTGTACTTTAGATGAAGGTTTACAGAACAAATAGTTTCTCATTAAACAGTTAGTACACATATTGTTTTATGACAGTGGTTAACAACCCCACGACAAGTCAACACTCTCCCTTCTGGACTTTGGGTTCCCTATTACCAGCTTTCCTCTCCCCTCCTGCTTTCTAGTCCTTGTCCCTGGGCTGGTGTGCCCCATTAGTCTCGTTTTGT